AAAAAAAAAAAAACCCAGAAATTCCTAAGAATGTGTCCAAACATTAACAGATGATAACAGGAACAAAGAAATCCTTGGGTTCATGACCACTTCAGAATATACTTCAGAATACAACTCACTTTTTTTTTTTTTTTTTTTTTTTTTTTTTTTTTTTTTTTTTTTTACAACTCATTAAGAAGGCTGGGCTTAAAATTGTACTCGGGACTCTAAGAAAGTAGGCATAAGACAGAGGAAGATAAATTTAGGATGGACTTTGAGAAAGAAGTGGCAAAGAAATCTGAAAAATGTTACAAATTTCTGGAAAGATAAAACATAAGAAATCACTAAAATTTATAAAAATAAAAATGGTCATTAATTGTCTTAGTCCATTCCGGATGCCATAAGAAAATACCACAGACTGGCTAGTTTATAAACAACAGTAATTTATTTCTCACAGTTCTGGAAGTTGGGAAGTCCAAGATCAAGGTGCCAATATGGTCACTTGGTTTACAACTGTGCTTTAGTGCTGTGTCCTCTCTTAGTGGAAGGGGCAAACAAGCTCTTTGGGGTCTCTCTTATAAGATCATTAGTTCTACTCATGAGGGCTCCACCTCATGGATAAGCCCCTCCCAAAGGACCTACCTCCTAATACCACTACACCAGGCATTAGGATTTCAACATAAGAACTTTTGGGGGAGGGGCGCCTAGGTGGCTCAGTCGGTTAAGCATCCAACTCCTGATTTTTGACTCAGGTCATGATCTCATGGTTGGTGAGTTTGAGCCCCTCGTTGGGCTCTGCAATGACAGCACAGAGCCTGCTTGGGACTCTCTGTCTCCCTCTCTCTTTGCCTCTCCCCTTCTCTCTCTGTCTCTCTCTCTCAAAATAAATAAATAAGCAAACAAACATTAAAAAAAAGGTGTCTCCAAAAGGAAAGAACAGATTTGTTGATTACAAAATGGCAAAGAGAATTGGAACAGTTATTTTGAGATGAATTCTGAAACTGAGGACAAAAGTAATGAAAAAACTTTATATATATACTGAAATAAGCAATAGAGAATCAGGCCCCAAGCTCTATTAGAACATGAAGACAGAAATGCTTCACTAGGCAAGATAAAGTGATACCAGCCACTCACAAATCATAGATTGTAGATGGAAGTTGGAAGACCACAGAAGGAAGTTGAAAGAGTCGTCCTGTTCATTGTGATTATTCCAGGTTTAACTAGAAACAGACCCTAAAGCAGAGTATGAAGAAACTAAAAACAAATGTTATGTACTAGGTTGAATAGTATATCTCCCAAATCCATGTCCACCTGGAACTTGTAAGTGTGACTTTATTTGGAAATAGGGTCTTTACAGATGTAGTCAAGTTAAAATGAGATTATGCTGAATTAGAGCAACTGGTGTCCTAAGAGGGGAATTTGGACACAGATATACACAGAGGGAAGATGGACAGAGATAGGAGTGATGCTGTCATCTGGCAAGAATGCCAAAATTTGCTAGCAACCACCAGGAGCTGGAAGAGTCAAGGAAGGATTCTTCCCTAGAGACTTTAGAGTTGGTGTGACCTTGCTGATGCCTTAATGTTTGACTTATGGCCTCCAGAACTGTGAGAGAATAAATTTCTGTTGTTTTAAGCCACCCAGTCTGTAGTATTTACTATATAGCCCTAGGAAACTAACGTACCCTATGATCAGATGGCAGAATGAGAAAGGTCAGGAACAATTAGTTGAAATAAAACAGTAAAAGCAGAGAATTCAATATCTGGAAAATTAATACAAAACAAGAAGATAACATTGCCATTCTGTAACAAAGTCCACTAAAATTTTTTTTTTTTTTTTTTTTTACACAAGGACAATTTTAATCCTCCATTATCCTGCAGTAACATCCACTGCTGGCTTTATATG